CTGACTGCTGATCAAATCACCAAATTTACTTGTGATTAATTGTTGTTCAGCCTGTAACCCTTCCAAATTGAAAAATAAGTCTTGAGTATAAATATAAGCCCCATATCGATATTTTCGCAAAATTCTTTTCTGTTTTATATCTTCCTCCTCCTCCTCCTCCTCCTCCTCCTCCTCCCCCTCCCTCCTTTTGGTTTTATACAGTAGTTTATTATTATTCATAATAAACTCTACTTCATCGCATACCAAGCCCATGTTAGCCTTCTTTTTTTTTTCAAGTTAGTTAATTATAGGTCCTCCTCTCCTTTGATTTTATTTCCTACGAATAATGAAGTTGCCTATTAGATTTGGTTTCTAGCCCAGTATCTTTTATGGCTTATTCATAAATACATACACACCCCTGGTTATTCACTTTACACTAGCTTCTCCCATGAGAGTTTAAAGGGGAAAGCCAGGGGAAATAAAACTTTTGGGCGTAGTGGTTCACACAAACCCTACTTTACCCACACTGATGTTGCTCTGTTCTTGTCTTGCTCTTCCATAGCAATGGACAAAGTAGCGATAGTGAGACACATATCATTATTATTCTTTATCAATGATTGATTTTTGTATTGGTGATGTTTTGTTTTTATAATAAATGTGATGCAACACCATCAGTGCCAGCATACTATTATCATTGTGAGCAGCTACAAAGTGTTTGGATGGACTATTTATTATTCTTCATTGTGTGAGGCAGGGAGGGAGATTATGTGTAATATAAATAATGACATCTTGGATGGATTTTATTTCATCTAAATGAATACTGAATTGGGTTATAGAAAAAAGCCATGGATGCGAAGTTTATAGATAGATGCATTTGATGATTGGGGTTATCTACAATAAGGCCATAGCAGCTCTGTTTGCATCATTACCAGTTTGGATAAGTGCTCGTACTATCTCGTCTCTGGGCTTTTGTGGATACATTCCCTGCAAAAGCTCAATCAGCTCTTCGTCTAGAGGAGGCTGTTGCTGTGGTGGATCGCTATTATTGCCATTCTGAGATCTATTATGTTGATATTGGTGTTGCTGCTGCAGCAAGTGAGCATGTAAAGAGTCTGGGATGGTTGGAGGATTTGATTTCAAGTAGACTCCAAGCCTCGACGAAACAAAGTTAGATAGTGAGGTAGGGAATCTCCACTGTTTAAGGTTGGCAATATTGGAAGAATAGATCATACTGGCAGCCAGACCGGCCAAAGCGGGAGCAACACTATTTGGATAACGAGAATAGAATAGCTGAGCTGTCAATAGATATATTCCAGATTTGCTGCTCAAATTGACACCGAAAATGTTTACAATTCCTGTGGCGGGAACAAGCTGGTAGTATTGGTATACAAGTGCGGCTATCAATGCAAATGGACCTGGCACAATGTTGTTTACTCTGGGTTGTCTAAGAATCAGGCTGATGGCGACTTCAAGAAACTTTGAGACAAATCCTGTTACGAAGAGAAAAGCAGCGTATTTGCGTGATCCAAATAGTCTTTCGATTATTCTTAGATTGTATATTATCAGAACCCCAGTAAAGACATCAGAGGCTGATGAGAACATTGTGGCTGATGTGAATAATCTCCATAGCTATCGCCGGTTCAAACATAAGAGAAGATATATTAGTAATCTTTCAGAGGCTTGGTGATTATTTTGTAGTATTGTAAAAACTTACTTGAAACTTTCTGGTTATATGTGGCACAATCCTTAGTTTGATATAAGGCCGCAACCCAACTATGGATGATATGATGGGGAGGGCTGTAAGTGAAAGTAACCACGTCTTGGTAACTGTAGCACCACTAAATCCGCTGCTACTCATTGTCTATTTTTTGTTATATACAATACAATATGACACTGGAAAAATAGGCCCCAAAGAAAAAGTCTAAAAAGTTAAATAATAGTAATGATGCTGCGATTAGATAATTCATTGATCATGTAATAAATATCTAAATATGGCTCAAGATGTATGAATTATGGGTGTAATAATATATCTTTGTTCTTTTATGAAATTATTAGGAACCTGTGTGGCATACAGCTATCTCCATAGAAAAAATAAATTACTTAATCATCACTATGAAATTATTAGGAACCCTGATAGATTATTTTATTTAATTTGGTAAATACGAATTTTAGTGTATGTGACATACAGCTGCTACCTCCATAGGAATAATAAAATGTTTAATCCTGAGGTTTGCATGAAATTATTAGAAAATAAAGGCCCATTACTTATATGTGTTTAAAAAGTCTTATAGATGGAGGATATATTTTATAATTGACATATATTGTAGGATACAATCGAATTTATATACTAAGGGGGATATCAAACTATTAGAGGTCATTATAAGGAAAAACAAGTATTGATTTCTACTAATTAGAAATGTAGCGAAGGTCAAAAGATAATATAATATGCGTAGGATTAAATAGAAAGAATAAAATGATGTTATAGACACTGTACTGATTGAGCAGATTAATAATCGAGATTGACTTCATCAAGTTTGTCTTTTGTGGTTTTAAGTTCACACTCGATTGCTTTGAGTTTGCCAGCCGATTCCTTTACTCTTGGAACATATTCTGTATTTAATATCTGGACCTTTTCCACAAGCAGTTTGGCGGCATCGACTACCTGGTCATAGTTCTGTGAGCTCAGTTGGTCTTTACTGAGTTTGGCCACATTTGACGACTGTGTGTCATTTTTTGAGGCTATGTCTGGGTTTGTACCATCGGATTTAGGACGGCATAGCGCTACGATGTCATCAAGTGCCTGGTCTAGCGTTAAGTGTATTGACTTGGACATTGCTGTTAACTGTCTTGATTGATATCTGCTTGAGGTTGTGGTATCTAATAGTTGCTTGTTTCCAAAACAGAGCCGACCTTGAAAGCACCTCATGGACGAATCTCCTTTTGAGATATGCGTGTGTGTTATGGGTGTCATGTTGGAATTGAGATCCACAAAGTGATTCCTGCTATACACAATTTTTAGTGTATGGGTAGTTATTTTTGAAGGGCTAAACTAACATTATCAACAATAATATAGGCTGGCCAATATGCAGCTTGGAACTGGCCTACTAGTGAAAATTAGTAGCCCTTCAAAAATAATCCCCCGTATACGGCATACAGCTACCTCCCTAGGAGTAATATAATGCTTAATCAGCAAAGTGATTCTTGTTATACATTATATATTAGTTCAACATGTTGCTAGATACTATCTTTTCAAATAAGTCAGCAGTTCTCTATGTTTTCTCTTTTCGAGCTCATGATCGGCTATAGCTTGTTTTTTCGATTTTAACCTATATGTACAAACCACAAATATATTTTCAATAAATATGGGTAGTTATATATGAAGGGCTATAGAGTCACTCATTTGGTTGGGATTTGCCCTATCAACATGCTCCCTTCAAAAATTATGATCCATATTTTCATTATCCAAAAAGACACTATGGTTTGTTCAACTTACATGGTGGATGGGTTTGTTTTGGGTTTAGGCTCTTTAATTTCACCAATGTCGGTGCCAATTCCAGATTTTCCAGCATTTTGTTTTGTGGGAACTGGATATTTTCGACCCTGTTCACTTTGACCCAACCCTGATCCATATTTCCACCCCATCTTTTCTAAAATCTGGAAACCTACATTGTTCTACCATTTGTTTCAATGTAGTTTGTAAAATCAATATGGCTGCTAGGCTATTTAATTCATTGGGTATATGGTCATAAACAATGCCAACTTACACTATTGATGTGTGTTATTACTGGTGGCTCCTGTGATGTCGATGATGGTGAATTGGAAGTAGAGGCTACCAAATGTCCAATGCTTCTAACATGGATATCCCAATCTTGTTCTGTTGAACTCGTATTACAATGTGGGCAAAAAACAGCTTTCATCTCACTGTTTGTTGCGCTTTTTCTGGGTGTGAATTTTCGCTTCTTTCTGGCAGATGTTGAGGGTGTCTTTAAGATGCTGGCATATATGTTTGCGGAATCTGTTTTCTGGCTGATTTTCACATCCTCTTTTTTGTCCTTTTTAGGAGCAGATTCTTTGACAAACTTTGTAAACTGGTACATCTGTGCTTGTAGTAATCTTACAGTAGTTTCTATGCTCTTTATGTCCAGGCAATTGCAATTGGTTGTAGAGATTATGATGCGTTCTGAAGCTTAATATAATATGGGACGATATTATTTTAATCTCTCAATGTTATTTGAACAGCTTACTAAAAATAACTATAAATAAAAAAGGCTGTCTACATGCCTTTTAATAAGAATAAAATATCAAGACTCTTTAGTATTTGACATGACATTAACGCTTCTTTAATATTTATTACTATACTGTCACCAATATTGCACTTGTATATAAACACAATTCTAATCCTTTTGTGAAACTTTAATAATGAGAATATAATAATCAATTCCAAATAAAAAACAAAGCACAAATAATATTGACCACAGTGTCATACTAGACTCTTATCACTGAAATATTTTCTTCAATGGTGTTGCTAATTGTGAAAGGAAAGCTAAAGATTATGAGGTGTTATAGTAACATGTCTACTTTCCAATGTAAATGCTTTCGTCTGCTAAAGTAAATCCCATGTGCTCCAAGATGCTATGAATATTGTCGTATAAAGCAAATATGGGCGATTATTTTTGAAGGGCAACAATTTGCTAATAAACGATAACCATTCATTTGATTGTGATTGTGCTTATAATCACTGGCCAATAAAAGGCACCCTTCAAAAATTATGGTTCATATTAGGTTGTAACCAACATAATCCATCATTCTGAAAGACCCTGGCCTGTCACTATTGACCATATATTTTCATTGATAATATTGATTTAGCTCTTCAAAAAAACAACTAATATACTAAATTTTAGTTCATTAATCTGCTTAATCATTATAATTGTTAGTCCATCATCAACTTCCAAGGATAAGGGCCCACACAATCCTAAATTAGCTGGCGAACAAGTAAGCCTCAAAAATTTTTTGGCCAGAAAAGCAATGTAGCGCAGAGGCAGCGCGTGGGGCTCATAACCCTAAGGTCCCAGGATCGAAACCTGGCATTGCTAATCATTTTATAAAAAATTTTATTGATGAGTAGGAAGATTCTTATTTGAAAGTGTACTAACTAGAATGATACTCTGGACAACAGCCATTAATCTGTCATTTTCCAGCCAAAATGTAAGTGTTATGGGCCGATTTGTAGAGAATTTACAAGGATATCATTATATTTCCTTTTGATAGAGAACTTGCATTTTGTTTAATTTGTAGATATTGCATACACAGATGCTTTGTGAGCCACTTTCCTACACATTGCTTGTTGGTACATACTTGCTCAAATTTTGCATGTCCTTTTTAACAAATCAAACTATGTATTATGGTTGTAGATTTAACCCTCTAACTGACACTTTTTGATTTGAAGGGTTATTGGAATAGCGAATTGGAAAAATGAGAATGTATATTAGTTTGTTTACCTTTTATGGAATATAAGCTATACACATATATGTTGTCCATTATTATTTGAAACAAAAATGTCACTTTTTTATTGTAAAAGTAATTAAAATGGCTTTAATATTTCCACTATCTAGACACTTAAAAAACACAAATCATTTTGATTTCAATCTAGTTAAGAGCTATAAAGTTATAGCCATTTGCTTTGGAGCTAACATCAGCCTTCAATACCTTAACCACTTGGTCGATCTGCTTTAAGAAATTACTCAACTTGGTCTTGGCTTTATCAAAGTTTGCAGGATTGTCGAAATCCATCATGAGGTTGGATATAGAGCTTAGCTGGTTGTACAACCCTTTAATATGCTCAGGATCAGGATCAATATAACCATCATGATACTTTTCTTCAAGACTTTTTATATCGAGGAATTGTCTTTGCATTATGAGCTGCCTACTCATTAAAGAGTATTGGGAGTATTTTACACAGATGTCACCAAAGAGCTTCACTGCACCAGAAAGCGAAGTTTCTTGTGTCAATGTTTGGTGGAGCACAGAATAAGAGGCGTTGTTATTAAGCGTCAGAAAAGTAGACATTTTGAATGATTTTCTCAATGTTCAAAGAAAACACCTTGCCATTTATACATTTCTTGATAACTAGTATACCAAACAGTCATCGCTGTGATCGATACAGAATTCTTGATATAGTGAGAGCTGTTTGAGAAGAAACTTTGAGATCACCCTGGCTTTATTATTATCTACTGATTCTTTAAACTTTACAAATTACTCTAGCAATATTGCATTAACAATTGCAAAGATCAGATAAATGAAGAAAGAACGAAATTGTACTCAATTATCATATCATTATAATCACTCCAAAGATTATTTTCCTTTTTAGATTTGTTGTTACTGTGTGTGTGTGAACCTTTGAGTAATTTTATAATCTGTCGGGTTTTATTCCTTGGTGACATAATAATAGAGAAAATAGGCATTATTGAAACTTAAGAATAGATGTTTGATAATTTAAAATAGTGAGTGTTATTTATAGTGCAGTGATCATAACCTCACAAAAGACATACAATCACCTCCCATAAGTTTTGAGAATTTTTTTTTGAATTTCTAAATTTTTTAAAAATCTTCATTTTACATT